GTTGTCCAAAGTCTGATCTGAACATCAGGTTTGTTTTTGATGAGGGACAATGTTGTATCATGGTTGAAAGCTCGATTTGCATAATATATTCTTTAATAATTGAACACTCTGGTTAGAGGCAAGTATATTGTTATTGAAATTTAGGCTGAACAGAAAACTATCTGTTATACAACCCTGCATGGCCTTGGCTAACCTCAGACAAGTCCTATTTTCTAACATTTCTGGCTTGTAACAACTCGATAAATGTATGTGGACCAATAATACATAAAAACATCAGCAATAATATCAATTTTTTATAAGCTTTAACTTGTGAGTAATTGCAATTAATCGCACATTTGTCTCTGTTCTTGATGTCCCTTGATTTGTTTTGAAAAAGGGATAAAGCAAACACGCAAGCAACGCTCGTCAGTCCAAAAAGACCCACACACATATTTTTACCGCCGCTTTCAGTGATTTTTTTCATTTTTTTCTTTCCAGTCTTGGGTCTGACACAGCGACCATGAGGACAAATATATTAAATATATAATACTATAGGTCCGGCAACCGGAACCCGAGGTAAAATTGGCGGTAAAATAGAGCTCCTGCGGTAACATTACGAGAGCTCCGGCACAAGCTGAAGTTTCCAATAGAGCTTTAACTGGAAAGATTATCGGTATTCTGTCTAGAAATACTTCACACATGATGTTTGGTTATGTGTTTGAAATGTGGTTGATTCCATGGAGAGCCGCACTGTTTGGTCTTGTGGTCGATGCAGCAATTCAATTTCAGATGAAACGGAAAATTCTACTATTCGTGACTCATGTCTTGCATAGTTCCATACTAAATGTGTAAGTCTTAACAAGGGTCTAATATCTAAGATGTGATTCTGTTGTTCTTGTCATGTTTAAGTATAGGAGATTAATAAACACAATCAGAATCACTGTTTTTTTTCCCTATATTGAAAACGTTCTATATCAGTAGAGTTTTATGAGGAGTCAAGCAGTTGTCATATGGTAAAATATTGCCAGAACTAAAATGGTGGACTGTCATGACTAATAAACAACTTAAAAAAAAAATATATATATATTTTTTAGAAAAGATTCTGAAACCATTTTGAATGATCAAAATATTAGAAATATTTGAAATTTTACAATAAATAATAGGATTCTGAGCACATTTTGTTTCTATGCAAACTAAACCCATTTGGCTTGGCTTGGATTCTGAGCACATTTTTCACAACTGCCTCCAAAGATGCACCTGGAAACGGCTGCAAGTCCTAAGTAGCTCTAAAACAGTTGTTGTTTTGTGCTCAATCAATTTTTATTTTCATTGCTTTTTTCTGCCTGAGATGTTGTTGCAGTACAGTGTTCATGGTTTTACACTGGTCCAGACCGGAGCAGAGATGATTCATGGTCCGAACAAAGCGGATCCGGAGAAAATCCACTGGAGGAATGCTAACTTTTTGAAAAATGCTAATGAAGCATTTAGCTTTTTACTTTGGACTAGAGCAGAAAAAATGGTCCGAACGAAGCGGCTACTCCACCTTGTGACCTGTCCTACTCCACCCAGAGGCTACTCCACCTCTGCTGCTGTGACAAGTCCTGCTACACCCAGAGGCTACTCCACCTCTGCTGCTGTGACGTGAAGGGCTGATTATTACTATTATTATGTTTTCAGAATTATCAATTTTATTTTTTATTTTTGCTGCTATTGGACACCTGAATTTCTCCAACGGGGATCAATAAAGTATCTATCTATCTATCAATTGGTCTCTAAAATTGTGTATGGTTTTTCCGTAAGAAATATTAGCAATTTAGTAGCATGCCAAAATGATCCATATTGGTACCGTTGGTACTGAACCATGGTTCTATTATAATAACAACTGGAACCCAACATGCTGGAGCTCTAGCAATTTTACCTCGGCCACAGCAATAAAAAAAACTGATGCCGTTGAAAAAGGTCTGCGTTAACGCCTTTATTAACGCATTTAACTGACAATCTAATCGTAAATTGAGATCTCCCAGCACTTCCTGGCGTAATTGACCACAACAAAATTATCCAATTAAAGACATTTGATTTTAAAAGATAGGCGCCTCAAGTCTATCAAACGTGTTTGGGACAGAGATCAGAAATATGCTTCATGTGTTGTCGCTGTGGTTAATCAGATCAAGATTACTGACATTTATTGTGTAATTGCCATGGAACTGCTTTACTCCAGTCTGACCTTATATGGAAGACGCCCCCAGCTAAAATAATGCTAGTTATCTGACCATTGGCAGGTGCTGGGCCATCATTGATTTAGGGATGTGTTTGTGAAAGTAAGCTCAAGCACTGGGGTAAGATATTTATTCTCACACTGAGACAGAACTAGACAAAAGGAGTCAGATAATGCTTCAAACGAGGATGAGAAGACGTGCACTTTTAAACAGCCGCATGTTGTGCAACAAAGATGCACCGTCTGAGGGAAGAAACTATTGCAGTTATGTTACCGAACAATGTCCCACTTAAGTCTGTGTAAAAGTTTGGGAATGTCAGCTCTGACGCCCTGTTGGGGAAAAGTGTTATTTTAGGATAGTAATGAGGATACAAATCTATGATAATAAACTACCTTCTTAATTAAGCTTATCAGACAGTGCTTCAGTCCCAGCGCACTAGCTTTTGTTTCAGGCTTAAGTGATAAATGCAGCAGGAGACAAAACTAAACATGAAGATGGTGCCTTCATTTCGGAGTATCCACAGATAAGATATGCTTTAATGATTGAAAATCATGGATTAACAATATCAATTCTGTTTAATGATACTACAACAAAACTTAATTAATCACCAACTTTCAATTTGCATGACATGAGTAGGATTATTGTTACTATTTGAAAGGTTCCAAAATAGTGTCTAAAGACCCTGTGGTACCTGACTTTTCTTTTTTAATATTTCATAAATAATACATGCTGTTTGTCCTAACAGCAAGAGTCTTGTACAAGTAAAATGTTGTGAACAAATCAGGCCACAACATGCTGTTTTCATCCTAAGAGAAAACATTTTTATGATGATGAGATAAACTTTATTAATTTCACAACAGACACATTTACACATGTCTGGATTGTAAATCTCCAAATTCTGGAAATTTTGGAGATGATTTCTAAAACTGTGACAGACTCCAAAAATACATACCAGTATGTGAAAACTTGTGGTAGAGCTGTTTTGAGAGCGAGGAACTTTGATGGATTTTATTATTTTTGTGGTTTGAAACTTATGTACCTAGAGAAAAGGCTGCATCACGTGCCACCTCTGGCAAAGTCTACAGCCAAAATATGTTAAGTCACTGCGCTGTACTAGCTTCTTTACACTCGTATCTGATTAAAAACCCTTCTAAACCTAAAATGTAAAGAAGACATAAAGAGGAACTTTCTACATGCATGTACAGAGGGATTTTTCCTGGGATACAGTATATACGAAGCACCCCCACTGGCAAATTCAGTCTTTCAAAACGATGAAACCAACCGTTTGAAACCTGTTAACGCATATTCAGCCCAACATTTTTGTGAGTGTTTACCACTTGTAAACTGGGCTTGATTCTCAATTACTGCTCCACAGAACCAGTAAACTGTGAAACGGTTTACTGATTGCAAGACAGACAAACTAAGCCAAAACATGGATTTTAAATTTCAAACTGACCCAATTCACTGAGCTGTAAAATACAATAATACAAGAGAGGCAGCCTATTGCCATTTTAATCGCATTGCAAGTATCTCCTGCACTGCGCATGTTTGAGCTCTAGTGTAACTAATTGAAACTGCTGCTCTTTGAGGCATGCTTTATTCAGTGTCAGTGGTTAGGAGTAAGTACCATGCTGTACACTCATGTTATGACGGAGAACACATAGTGGAGGTAGGGAACAAGGCTCTGGAGATAATAACTACAGTAATGACGTTGGGTGAATGGGAACAACTATCACTGTCTTATTAACATTGTGGCAATTGGGATTTTTTTATTTTTTTTTTATTTATAACGGCAGTTTCCAAACTTGTCAGGCCGTAATTCTCAATTCAATTTATTTTCTGTATAGCCCTGATCAACAACAGCAGTCTTCTCGGAGGACTTTACAAATTAGAATAAAACATTTTGAACACATGTATTAATAAGAAACACAAAGGAGCCATTGGTATTTAGCAGGATGACAATGTCCATAAATGACCATAATGGAGCATCACTGTCCCCAGACCTCCTTCATCCCCAAACTCCCCCCAATTAAACAATAAGCAACTAAGCCAGTTTTCACATGCTGTCAAAACATGCAGAATCCAATTATCAATATCCTTGTTTGAGTAATGAATAGCACTAAAGCCAATATACATTTTCAGTTCAGAATATATAAAAAAATACAGGATTGTAAAACTGAATGGAGACCTCCTTCTTTGGTGTTTATGGTCTTTGCAATTGCAATGCACATTACAGTTATTATTTGTATTGCTGTGCAGGGACAGTGCACAACTAACTAAACATGCACCAAGCAGGACATTCTATTTTACCCTTTTTTCATACAGCTTTATGGAATACTATCAATGTTTTTAAATTCTGACATTACACTTAGATTTAATGATTTTCTCTATTACTTTTTTTTTTTTTTTCTGGGGTTGAACTTTGATACCGTATTGGCCATGTTGTACCAGCTGTTTCTGTATGCAGCTAGAACAGGACATATTCTGCAATTATAAAACAACAACAATATACTATCCCTCTGTTGACGGGGTTTAGTGCGTGACAAGGGGATAATGTTGATTTGCTGTCTCAAAATGGCAACTTGGTCTCCAGGCTATATAGATCCATAGAATGTCTCTCCGTGTCCTGTGGTGCAGGGGCTGATAAAGAGCTTTTGCAGTTCACCACATCCACAGGCAAACACGCACAAGAAATGCCACTTTGAAGGTTAGGCTTGACAATAAAACACACGTGGAGGATCTAGATGTTGCACAATTTTACCAAGCGAAGTGTGCACGCATCAAAAGGTGATCTGTGCGTCCTACCTGGTGGGGATCTTGACCCGGAGGTAACGATCAATAGCGATGGCCAAAAGCGCCAGGATTGAACTTTGTGTCAGCACCAACACCGTGCACGCCACGAGCAAGCAGCTGTAGAAATGAGTTTGGAGTCCAATACTGATGGTGATCGCGAGCGGTATCACCAGGGCTCCCACTGCGATGTCTGCGAGTGCCAAAGACACAATGAAACAAAACGTGGTGTCTCTGAGTGACTTGTTTATCTTTACTGCCCAGACCACCATCACATTCCCCATCACTGAGGAGACGGCGATCAGCATCTCCATCCCTATGTAGAGGGACTGTGCTACTGTGAGTGTCCCGGACATCCTGCTGCTGGATACGCGCCTGTGTCCTTGATCAGATTTTAAAGCCGGTCTTTGCTCCTCGTCTTCACCAAACGAGCGTCCTGCACTTGCGTCACAACATCCACAATGCGTGTAGACAAATACAACTCTAATGTGTGTGCTCCATTGAAAGTCCCATTTGTAGACAGCATTTTGGGATGGGAGCGTCTTCCCCGCTGGAGCAGGTGTCTATTGTGCGCGCGTCCCCCGCTTCATTACACCTGCCTCCATGGTGAGCTGGGCATCCTCAGTGGCGCACGGTCAACAAACGCAGTGGAGAAAGCTCGGGGTTAATGTCAGTGAAAGCATGGGTTTTAGATGAAGTGCTCTCTCGGATGCGGTCAGCGCACTGGCGGTTTCGCTTCTGATCCTTCTATGAGTTTATCTCCCTCTCTCTCCACCTCCCTCACTCTCTCACAATATTTAGTGCCGTCTTCGCAAATAACTAGGATTACCGTATGTTTCTCACAATACATGTTTAAACTACACAGTGCCTGTATTTCATTTCGGTTTCCTTTCCCATTGTTCTTTGCGCACGCGGGACAGTCCCATACGGTGCAGAGGTCACAACGACACGCGCCTCACTCCCACGCCCTTATAACTCTAATGGACCTTGCTCTGTTTCGCATTATTCTGATAAGAGGTTAGGCGGCGCATGGCTTGGTGATGTACTCTAAAAGCGTATACATCTTTGAATATTTCATTTCAAGCATTTTTGAAAACGATTGGATTAGCGATTCCTGCATTACCTCAGTGAACAAACACATATTCAGGTCATTCTAAATATATCTGAAAACTTCAAAGACACACTTAGAAGCCCGAGGCCAGCCCCAGATCCCCCTTCCAAAAAAGAGGAATCCATGTTTCCCAGCCAAGCATGCAGCGAGTCTTACTTAAAGGATATCAATATATTTTTTAGTCAAAGTTATTGATGTCCTTTGGTACACAATCAAAAAGCACAGGGTGTGGCAGTAGTATTGTAAACATTCAAGAATAGCCCAGCAGTGACAGTAACAACATGTTGTAATGTGACCGTTTAATGAGGTCCTCAACAAAGAACACATGAAAGTTATAAACAAGTCCAAATATGTTAGGCTTATGCCAAACCTGACTAAACATTAATTATAATAATTGTTTAATGAAGTCTTTTAAATATATAGTTCTGAAAAAAACAATGTAGCCAACCCAAATAATAATCCATTACAATCCTGTCTTGTTCCTTCTCGTAAATTCTTAGTGAGGACAAATGTCAGGTTTTAAGGATTATAGCTGTTTCCTTAATCTGGTTGGTTTCTGCACACATGTTTAGACTTTGAGTGTTTGAGAATTGGTTGTGTTTGGTGTTGTAGATTGAGGCATACACTGTAAACCCTAAATTCAATCTTACTTCAGATATCATAGTTATTTTAAATAGATTTTTCCTAGTTAGTGAATATTACTCATTTATTGTTAGTTTATTTAAAGTTCGGCTATATCACTCAGGGTTTCCATTGAATTGAACTGTCTCTAGACAGGGTGGCCTGGTGGCTGAGTGGGTTTCACCATCACCTTTCAACCGCGAGAATCTAAGTTCAAATCCCAGCTGGAGCATAAGTTGAAATTTCATGTTTATTTCAACCACTTGAGTTTACTTGGTGATATCAAGTAAAGGTTGTACTCAAAGAATTCAAGTAAAGTTAATATGGTTTTTTCAAGTAAACTTTACTTGTCAAGGTTTACAGTGTAGATTTGACAGTGAAATTAAATCAAGCTACAATTCATTTGCAGCAATATTTTTCTGTGCAGCACTATTGGAGAGCATTTGGTCTGAGTCTCGGCCAAACTCAGCACTGCACATAAGGATTATCAGACAGAAAATTAGACTGAAACTGGCAAAGTGGAAATTTGATGTGCAATCTCCAAACACAGTATGATCCCCATAAACATGTCTGGCCTCTTTCCCAAGAGTGGAGAGATTCTTTGTAGTGAGAGGTGGTTTCTTGCTAAGTCTATATATTTTACAATTTGTTAGCGATGGAGAGGCCGGTTTTATGTATTAGGCAGAGGATAATCTCAACAGGAGACCAGTGAAAAGCCTGTTTCCGTGTGCAATTGAATCACCCATGTCAGCATGGAGCTCCATTGGTCTGCTACATGAGGAGGCACAGCCATATGGGCTCTCAGACTGGGATTTGATCCAGTGTATTGCATGAGAAATCTATCACGTATATATATACTCAGGGTCTGAGACAACATTCCCATCAGCTGTCAGGCTAGAACTCAGGTGTTGGGTTCATACAATAGAAGTTTAGGGTAAAATAAAATACAGAAATGAATCAATATATATAATGCAAATATAGACATTAGTCATTGTGATTATATAACAGTTTTAATTTCATTGGGTTTCATACATAAAATGTAGAGTGTCAATATGATTGATTTACTAATAGTTTATGTCTGGGTTACTGGAGTATTCCAAATTACACGGTTGTTAATTGCAATATATGCAGTATGAACAGGCTCTTATCCTCATAAAACTTGTTGTAACTTGTGCACATCAACAAACATGTTTGGATGTGCATAAATGGGAACATGTAAATGGAACATACATGTCCATCACCTCAAAGTTAGGTCAACCAGCGTTGGTTTATAGGACACTACATGCCATCAGTTTACCACAGGGCAGAAGCAGAAGCAGCATATAGCTCTGGCATTATATATTTGATTAAATACTCTACTATATGAAAGAAACATTTTGTAAGAAAGTCTTTACTGAAAGCATTCATTTCAGTTTTGTTGAGTCCTAATTTGACAGTCAGTGGTAGTTACATATCAGTTTCCATCTTGTTTTCCGCTGTCTTATTTGATTCATAGTCAGTGACATTGACGTGCATTTGAGCAGGTGTGGACTGTCACACCAAAGATGTGATTTTTAAAAATTGTAATGCGGAGACGTGCCCTGTCAACTCCAAACACAGACCTCTGAATGCTGTTTACACCACCTCACTGACTACTCTTTGTAAGTTATATTTTAAACACTTCTCCAGAAATAACCTGACATTTTTTTTAACTACAAAAGCCTCTTCTGTGAGTTACAATGGGCCGGAGGTGCTCTGCTCTGACAGCTGAATTTGCTTTGATAAAATGTAATCCGTCCAAAAGAGCGAGTGGTTGGTGAGACATTCCCTTTTGGGGCGGTGTGACCAGTGAAGTGCACTCACTTTTGTGACACTTGGCTGCACTCTCCCGACAGTATGGTGGTTCAGGCATCGTTACTGCAGCCCTCATATTCTACTCTGTCCCTTGGTCACAGGAGACCGACTCTGATATGACAGAAAGGGCCTAATGGTGCTGTACAAACCCCCTCTGCCTTTACAAACCCCAAACACTTTGTCAGTGCTGTAGTCCTCCTGATAAAGCATGGACTGGTTAGCAAAGCCTGTCTAAAACATTCAAATGAGGAGATCACATCATGTCCAAGTCTCCTGGTGGTGTCAGCTTAACGCTCAAAGCTCAAAGGCCTTAAAAACTATACAGTATGTTCCAGAAATTAAGAGAGGCTCGGGCCGATGAACTTCAGTGATGCTCTAAACACAATGTGACTGCATTATTAAAACTGAGAATAGTCCAGGAATCAGCCAGGGAGCCTTTAAAATTAGACTGAGTCCATACATTCCATGTTAATGACAAGAGATGGATGGACTGAGCAAAGCAGAAGACCTTCACTGAATGTTTCAGATTCGTAACAATATGGTGCGGTGCATTCAAGTGTCTCCCAGCCAATCTAGCAAGCCCTTGAAGCAGCATAAACTATAACAGCAGCTGGGGAACGGGGCCTGGCACGCTGCCATTTACATGAGCCTCTCCAGAGAGAACGCATCGTCAAACTCTGCAAAGAGGTTGTTAGAGGACAATCAAAGACCACCTCAGACATTCCCATGTTTTACTTATATTCAAAATTTGCTGCAAAACCTCATTGGAAAAACTGTGCAAGACTACCCCATTTTGCACCAGACAGAGCAGATAGCACACCAGAGCTCTTGCCGTCAGAGATGAGGCCCTAAACACTTCATAATAAATCAGATCAAATTAGAGCAGATACCTATAAGCGCAGTACACAAGAGAAAATGAGGCATTCTAAAACGCTGGATCTAAATGACCATACAAACAAACCCACAGGTGATGTTAACTGCACTTCTGTGTATCCTCAAGTGCAACCCATGTGCTTCTTGCACAATGTACATGGAAAGGAAAAAATGCAGTTTATGCCAAAGCAATCAGGTTAGGTGTTAATGCGTACTCCATGAAACCACAAACCCCCACAATATTATGTCAACATTGAACATCTTAGGTTTTATTTGACTCCATCAATAGGTTTAGGGCCAAATAAAATCATGTATTTATTGCAATAATAATTCACATCTAGTCCAAAATGATACGTTTTAGTGCACACAACCTCCAACTGCCTTGTACAGATATTAGTCAGTGCTTTTCCCTCTAATTGCCTGCTCTGCTTGTGCCCCTCTGGACCCTCCAGTGCCTGGGACATTAGCACCGCACCCACTCGAGTCTGTGGGGCAGAAGGAGGTGTCGGCTTTCCTCTAACTGTGTTTACTCGATGGGTGCTCTTGGCCCTCATAAAAACGGGCATCACGAATGTGTTGTTTACTAGATTATATAGAGAAATCAGGCCTCTTAGCTCACCCCAGCGCTTTTATGATGACTCTCAAGTTCTAAATGAGAATACACAGAAAACAATGTATGGTATTATAACCATAACAATCCATTTTATAGTTTTTTTATTAAGTACATCATGAAATACTGTATGCAATACATTATGTATTGCATTTTAGCTGAGGTGACTGCTTATCTCTTTTATGTTCCTTTTACAGTATCTGTTGAAATTGTTGATAACCATAATAGAGATCAGAGTATGCAAAGGTCAAGACATAATCTATCAGGAGGATCAGAAGAAAAAACAGTGCATTAGTCAACTGATCCAC